GAAAGCCTGCATTCGGCCCATAGGACGCACACACATTTCCCCTTCATTTTTGGAGGGGAAAAAGTGCGTCCTATAGGGCGAAAAATGCGGTAATTATTTTTGCAAATTAGGAAATATATAAGATTTTCTTGCTAACCATTTCTACTTTGAAAAGTATTTATCTGAAGAATTTATAAACCACACCACATTTGAAAATATTGTGAGGGTATACAAAACAAAGAAACAAACAAATAACAAATACAAAGTTAAAGCACTAAGACTGCATTAAATCCACCTGTAAAGTCAGCAACAACAATATCCTACAAAGCTACCCTGAAAAAGGTAGGGGGAAGAGTATAAAAAACAAATGGTTGGCACCATCCTAATTTCTGGGTAGAGTGCATTCCAAAGTGTGATGGACGCCATCCCAAAAGCTCTGTCTCAGGTGCTTCTTAAATGAATACGACACACATTGCACATTTGTTGCACTTACAGTTTAACTACTCTTATGCCAGATCCCTCAAGTAGTACTACAATTAGACACAGCCCTATTTATAACACAAGTTAGGAGGATAATGCCCCTTTATTAAAGTCAGCTTTCTCTCACCCATATCACTATATATATTCAAAGGCAAATTCCATCATAAAGTCCAAAGTGAGGATAAGGGTCCATCAATAGCAACCAGAAACTTAACAACACACATTTAATATTGGAAAGTCTCCAATATACTCCACCATGGGAGTAATTGTTACTTTCCGCGTAGCTACACAAGGGAAGAATGCTGCCACTCTTTCAAAATGGCACCAGGCTGGGTAGTATTAGTTGCAAAGCCTCCTCAATAGGCAGAGGATACAAAATATGCAATTGTGGTGCGGCCAACCACCTCAGTCATGTATTTTCCCCTGTCCTTTGACACAGGCAAGAGTCTCTTTGCCTCCCTTCTCCTTTCATGCACCCCAGTTGCTAATATTCCCTGCCTGATTCAAGATGCAGGCAAGTAACAGTAGGGAGCTGAGGTGCCTATGTGGAAGACTGTGCCAAAGAACCTGTGGCTTTGCATGCTGGGGAAAACCCTTTGTATCCAATTTTTGCTCAGTTCAAAACACAATCCCACTGAGAACTCTAGAAGCTCTACAAGATATCACAGTTGAAACATTAACTAAAGTGAAAGGAGCAATTGCTATTCTAGGAATTGCTGTGAAGAACCTCAACGGATGAAATTTCCTTGTTTATTTTTCCCTTTCCCTAGGCATCCTGTCAGATTAAGAAGCCTTCAGTACTTGACTCAGCTTGTTTGGCTTCTTCAGCAATTGTACTCTGGAATGTCTTGTGTTGATGATCTTTAGAAAATGACAAACAGCACTTGAAAATTACTCATATAAGATGCGGCTAGGGTGGGGGGTGGGCTTTGGTGACAAAGAACAACTTCGATAGTGTGAAATGTCTGGTGCAAGGGACCCCAATTTATTTCATTCTGTGCTTTATTCGCTATAAAAACAAGTCTTCCTTTTCCCCTATTATTTTATAATCAGCAAATTCAACCAGCATCCTGTAACAGATGCTCTATCACTGAATTACAGCATTTGAAGGATTTTAAAGCAATTATTTCTAAATCCAAGAAAAGGGTCTTAATTGTTACTGTTCACAACCTATAGCCCAAGCATCATTTAACTTTTCTGAAAAATTAGGAAAAATACACCCACATTTAAAACTACAGAAGCTTAATAATAGTATAATGTGCTGCTGATAAAGCACTTATACAATATGTTATTTATTTAGCATCCATTATGCTATTTCCATTATATGTATATAAGATTGAAGCTGCACTCTTGCGTGCACTTACCAAGGAACAACCATCAAACATGAAAGTGCTTATTTCCACAAATTGCATTGTGGGAGACAATAATCTGCTCAGTGATATCCAAACTGACAAACCACTGGCTCAATGCATGAGCTTCTAGTGCCTCTCCTTGGGACAGAAGATAGAAAGATGTGTAGATACCACTGCACTTTACAAGAGGCAAAGAAAACTGCTTACTAATGCAGTTTAGAATTACTAATCTACATAAACATAGCACAGAGAGAACAGAAAAAAGCCAATTTATTAGTTACTCTGATTTGCAAGTGGACTTTGAAAGACAATGTAGAAAGGGGTTACTAATCTGTGTTGCCTTATGTGCAAAAAACCGCACTTAACTGCAGCAGATTGAATTTGAAGAAGAGACACGAAGAAAAGGGTGAGTACAATCCTATGCTTGTTTACTCAGAAATAAGACTGACTATATTTGAGCCTGCTCCTTTATGAGTGTGCAGCTTGAACAAGTGAATGAAAGTAGAGAATGCAAAATGCCAACTATTAGAAGGTCACATCATACTCTAGCAGCTAAAATCAAATAACCATTAACTCCTGTTCAGTATTCACAGTAACTGGGGTTGGAGATGCATGATTCTGAAGAGTGGATTAGTTTATCCTTTAACAGAAGTTTTTAACAGTATCAAGACTCTAAAGGGGCGGGCAGAGAGCTACAGGTGGCTGTTATTTAAAATAAATGAGCTCAGAGTGCAAAGGTGTAGTGTGTGCGCAGCAGGCAGATGATGAATTCTCACTCTCCCCACCCCCACCCCCACCCCGCATAACAAAATATAAGAAGACTGAGAGGATGGCAGGGAAGAGAAATCCCCGTCTTCACACAACCAGTCTGGCTAAGACATTGGCAATGGGGAAGCTAAAGGTGAACTAGTCAACATTTAGTGCACCTTGTGACTGTATCTGATGAAGATGGGAGAGGAACAAGAGAGGCACAAGAGATGATGATGATGATGGCTCTTTCTGATGGGCCCTGCTCCATTTATTTTCAGCCCCCCCCAATGGAAGGGGGGCTGCCATAACGGAATGGGAGATAGAAGGAAACATTAGTGGCAGACAGGAGAAACTGACCCATAACCGCATTTGGAGACACAAAAGGCCAGGAGGCATCTCCACGCACCCCTCCCCACCCACCCTATACTTCTGAATCTGGCCCCCAAGGAGGAGAGGGAGGAGACCCTCCAATAAGGGATGCCCCCACCCTGCCCCCCTACCCCCAAACCTTAACGCTTATATACCCTCCCCCCGTCACAACCAGGCACCGAAAAAGCGGGAAGCACAAAAGGGTTGGGGGAGGGCGCGTCGCAGGGGGAAAGGGTTACCTTGGCGTCCCAAGCCGGAAGAGCCCCCGCCGCCTAAACACACCGGAGAGGGCACTGACAGCTCCCAGCATGCAGCGCGGCCCCCTTCCTTCCGCCCTCCCTCCGGCTCGCTTCTCCTTGCGCAACAGCGCCACCTGCCGGCTCTCCAGAACGTTCCACCGCTGGAATCCTACCCCCCTCGCCTCGGCTTCTGCGCGCGCCGGAGAGTTCGCCCTCCGCGCTGCGCGTGCATCTTTCCGGGCCGCGGCCCGGTATCTGCATTTCCCAACCGGGCAGTAAAGCCACACGCCTGTCTTCGAGGAAACCTGTCTTTATTAAATTTGTCGGCCGCTTTATCTTGCCCAGGGCAACCCCAAAGCGACTTACAACGACCCAAACAACATGGGCATAGCCAGGGGGGTGCAGCTGCGCCCCCAATCAATCAAGTAAATAAATAAAAATACTTTACTAATTCTGTCGCAGATAACTCTGTTCGGCACCCCCACATACGTAAAGCCTGCCCCCACTAAAAAGTTGCCTATGCCCATGCCAAACAAACAGACAACAAACCCCGCAGAAAGCGATTAAAACCAAGGCTAAAAGAGAAATACAATGAAATTCTGCCACCAGCAGATATATGGGCCCTGTACACGCGCACAAGGGAATTCTTGCACTGTTCTGGAATCCAAGTGAGGGAATAGGAAGCGGCCCCTCTGTTTGCGCGCGTCCAGCGCGCATTAGTTACACGACGAATGTCTCAGAGGGTGCAATTAAATGTATATCTGTCTCCAACAGAAGCGAGCCAGTTACCCCTGGGTCCCGGCTTCCGAAGCTGTCCTCGACCTCTGGTAATCGAAGGCACGCTGCTTCGATACCTGGAGGCTCTGCATCAGGGCGTGCCTCCAGACGCTGACGACTCCAACTCCCACCAGCCCGATGGTCAGGGATATGATGGGAGCTGCAGCTCTACAACACTTGGAGGGCCCCGAGTCCCCCATCTCGCTTAACAGCCTTCACTAATAATACGCAGTTTGTGAATTTAAGGCTCTGCTATCCACTAAGGACGCTTAGGCTGCAATCCTATACACACACACCTGGGAGTAAGTCCCATAAAAGTTTCGCACCACTTTGTAGGAAATGTATACTTTTTTGTGCGTTCTGCAATTTTCTAAAGGAGACGTACTAGTATACACGTATAGGATTTCATTGTAAGCCCGCAATGATATTTTGAAATTGTTATTATGGCCTTAAGGCAATAAACCTTTTTGATTGTAAGCCTGGAACCCTGTATGAGCCAACCTCGGAGTAGGCCCAATGGTATCCAATGGAACTTAATTCTTAAGTAGATTGCAATCCCCTCCCCCAAGGCCACAGAGATTTTTTCCCCTTCAGAGTACTGTACCATATTCAAAAGACCGAGCCCTTTAAAAGAAGCAAAAGGCCTCTCTGGATTGCAAGATGAGACACTTGCTTGCAACAAGAGCTGGGCTAAGAAATCCACACACCATTTTAAGCGGCATCTTAGGCTTGCTCCGAGCTATCAGTCCCAAATGACGCCACGTGGCGCCCCAACGTTTCCAAAAACGCAACCTTCCTGAGCCCGTTCAATTCGAAATCGGAGAAAAACCTGAGAAATCCTTTCCTCGGAGCTGAGCAATTGGAGGGTGAGCACTCGCAGCTACAAGTTTGCACACAGTAAGAAGGGACGCCGGCTCTTCTATTTCCTTAAAGCCAGCCACCGGTTGCCTGGCGATGGAGAGGGCGCTGTGGCGAAGACGGAGACTTTCTCTTTGCCGGTAGAGGCCGGTTTCGCTTAAGCGCTTCCTGGGCTGAGTTTGGCGTTTCCCCTCCTCCTTCCCCACGTGGGTCCGCTCCCCGGGCAGGTCTGAATTTCGCCGCGGATGCAATATTTGGATGTCCCCAGCCCAGGATCTCAGTGGCACGCGCTGGCTTAATGGACGAGGTCGCAGTGTTTTTGGAAATTAGGCAGGGGACGCAGAGTGGGCTGCTGATTATCCGGTATTTATTTTAACTCTTTCCAACGCCCCCTTCCCGTTTTAAGAGAAGTACACAAATACATGTGTACCGGGATCTATTTTGCGATAGCCTCCTTTTCTCCCAGGCAATTCAAGGCAGCCGCCGTAGGGTCTCTGTGCAATCTCCTATCCAGACACCGATTAGATCTGGGTTAGTTTCGACCGCAGTGGCAATGGGTGGGATCAAAGGTACTTCACCCTCCTTCTCTCCCAGCCTTCCTTCAGCTGGTTAAACCTCCCCTCCTCTGCCTCGACGATGATGAGGTTGATTGGCCCCATACTGATGTTATGCTTTCCCCTTCCGAATTATGGTAGGGAAAGTGTGAAAATTTTCACTCCTTGCAACCCCCTCTGTGTTGATCAGCTGACTGGGGAACAGCTGAGAGTGCTTAAAAGGATGCCTGACTGCAGAAAAAGGCACTCCTCTGCAGAAAGGTTGGGATATGAATTTAATTAATAATAAATATTTATCATGCGCCTCCCCCTTTCTTCCTGTTGCTTGGCTGACCAGGACAGCTTGGCTGATAGTTGTGTGTCATGTCAGGTTGGCAGTGGGCTTGAAGCTGCCCATGGAGTGCAGATTGCACATTTCTGAACAAGAAATAAGGGAGAAAGGCATGTTTCTTATTAAGTATGTCTGTTGACCATAGACTGTGCATATTTCTCAGATAATTTACATAATGCAGTCAAGATATGTACCTTCTCTAAGACCTGTTGGGGATTATGCATTTTGCCTGGGAAATGTGAACAATTCCCACTTCGTGAGAGGGTTATGTGCACATTGTCCATGAGGCCTAGTGAATGCATTATGGTCAGCTATTGTGCTCATTAATCACTCAATTTATATTCCCCTTAATATATATTGTGCTTCCCAATTCAGGACTGCACTTCATACATCTGATGATATAGTCTCCAACCCATGCACGTTTAAGACACAAAGCTCCGTAAACTTTAAGGTGGAAGTTGTACTACAATACAGTGGTACCTCGGGTTACAGACGCTTCGGGTTACACGTTTTCAGGTTACGGACGCGCTGAAACCTGGAAGTACCGGAACGCATTACTTCCGGGTTTCGGCGCTCGCACATGCGCAGAAGCACTAAATTGCACTTTGCGCATGCACAGAAGCGCCGAATCATGTCATGCGCATGTGCTGTGGGTTCACAACCCGAGGTTCCACTGTAAACTAATCTGGCTACTCCTCTAGAATTTGCCAAGTGGGTTTTAGAGACTTTATTGCAAAGTCAGGAAGTTCATGATATCAGAATACTAGGGAAACTACATTAAGACAAGTTTAGGTTTGTGGTGTAAACGTCTTCCTTGGTGATGTCATATGCTGGGCTCATGTGGAACCCTGGTTCAGAAATTCTCCAAGAGTTTGGTAAACAGACCCTCATTGGCACAGGGGCCCTGCTCAGATGGAGCACCCGTGTGGCTTCAACAGGAAGAGGACAACAGCTCACTGGGTATCCAGCTTCCTTATGATCAGCTTCCCAGCCTGGACGTCAGTTAGGTGTGACCCCTGGCTGCACACCACCTCCTTTTGAAACCTGGATCCTCAAACTCCTTCTCTCTCTCTGGCTCAACCAGGACTGTAGATAGCCCCTGTGTGGCTAGCCATCTCCCTTTGTAGGAAATTTTGATGCCCCATCAAGGTCCGCAGTTGTGTCTGTTTCCTTTCTGACTTGTCAGGGCACCCTGCAGGGAGGGGAAGCGGCAAGCCTTTTCTGCCTGCAGGCTCTCCTCCCAGCTACTTCTGCTAGCAAGCCTCCTGAAACTGATATGGCATCACAGAAGGTATGTGGCACATTATGTGGCCGTAATGAGTTTTTAGCGGCACTCTGTCCACACATACACACAAATAGCGAGTGACTAAAGTGCTCTTACGTGCAGGCAATAGGAATCCTAGATAAGTGTTCTCAGTAGTGCTGTGTCTCACTGATATGTAATTGCTTCTTAATATTTATCGTTCAGACCTCTGGTTAAGACAATTGTTATTCTCCCAGGCATTTTAATGAATTGCATTTCATGGAACCCAAGGGTATGTTAAACAATGGAAATTGGATTTTTCACTTTGCTGTTCAAATCAATTGTTATTTAATTGTGTGTGTGGCTGGTTTTTTCATTGTTTGGTGAATTATTATATATTTGGTGATATACAGTGGTGTTTGTCTGCCAGCAGGATGGGCATCATTTGCAGAACAGATTCCCCCTCCCCTCTGCTTCCCCCTCAAATGTCCTCTGGGAACACCCTGAAGCAGATTTGAGAATGGCATGGCCTGGAGTTGGGGTTAGGAGAGAAAGGGGCCAGTGGCGTAGCATGGGGGGTGCAGGGGGGGCTGGCTGCACCGGGCGCAACATCTGGGGGGGGGCGCGGAAGAGACTCGAGTGCTAAAATCCATGGGTTAGGGGGCGCAAATTACTTGCCTTGCCCCGGGTGCTGACAACCCACGCTTCGCCACTGAAAGGGGCAGTCTGCCTAGTTAATGTTAGATATTGTTTGTGGTTGTTTTCTTCTGTTTAATTTGCATTGTGTACATTTATGAAAGGCATATAAAAAACCAGGCTTTCCCAGGCCTATCAGTTTGTCCTTGAAAATCTGCTTTGAGTGGAAAATAATTGGTCTTTCTTAAACATCTTCAGCCAACTAAAGCCAGAAAGCTGGCCCATGGATATTACCTTGATGCCGTCATTGGTAGAGCTAAAAAATGATGAACACTGCAAGACCATCAACCTTCCACCAGAGGTCAGGATTGTTCCTTCTTCCTGTCGAGGACTGCAGTATGTGCTTGGGGATGGCTTACATATGAGACTGCTAGTTCAAGCAGGTTTCAATAATACAAGTAAGAGTGACTTATACAGTATATGTCTTTTTATCACCAGCGTTCTGTCTAAAGTTGTAAAGCAAGTAGATCAAACTGTGAAGGATTAAGTATGTTTTCAAGAAACATGGCAATTGAACCAAAAAAGAAATGTGAGATGTGGGGATGGTTTAACTTTCAGCCGTGAGATTTGCCTGAACTGACTTCACAATGTGGGCAGATTCCCTTTTTTTCTTTCGTTAACTCCAGCTTGGATTTAACTGGATTTACTCCCTTTGCTGTGTCCTAATGAAAACAAAAGTTAGTAACAAACCTCCCTTCAGGTCCAGCACCGAGGGCCTTCTGGTGGTTCCCTCACTGCGAGAAGCCAAGTTACAGGGAACCAGGCAGAGGGCCTTCTCGGTAGTGGCGCCCTCCCTGTGGAACGCCCTCCCACCAGATGTCAAAGAGAACAACAACTACCAGACTTTTAGAAGACATCTGAAGGCAGCCCTGTTTAGGGAAGCTTTTAATGTTTGATGTATCACAGTATTTTAATATTCTTTTGGAAGCCGCCAGAGTGGCTGGGGAAACCCAGTCAGATGGGCGGGATATAAATAATAAATTATTATTATTATTATTATTCACAGGCAGAATGAATGCATGGCAAAGTAGCACTGCAAGATTAAAATAAGAGTTTTCTGTTAGCTTGCCTAGTTTTTTGAGTCCTTTTGAGATATAAGTCTGCACTCAGATTGTGTGTTTCGCTAAGTTGAACTGAATGCTGTTTCTGAAATTTTGTCAGTTCACAATGCCCCATGTCTTTGAATTATTTTTATTTTCCTTCAGTAATGTTGGCTACAGTACATTCCCATAGTTAAGCTTAGCTTAGTCCCACTGAAATCCATGGGATTTAGGCTGAAATTCTATACCCACTTATCTAGGAGTAAGTCTCCCTTAAATGAATAGGATGTACTGTAAGTAAGCGTATTCAGCTTTGGAATGTTACTTTCATGTAAGTGTGGCTTTTGCATTGCTGCTGTATGATGTCACTTTGCTAGCATGATATAATTTTGTGGTGGTAGCCATTGCATATTGAATATTATTGGGAACTATTTTATTTTTTACATTTTTTAATCCATGTACATTTAGAAGCCTTCCTGGTATGACTAAAAATATGTTATGTTGCTGTTTGACTGGAGTGGCGCTTATTTCTACAGCTTCCTGGGGTGGTAGATTACTTCTGACACAGTGTGTGTATAAGACACCCCCATGTATAAGATGCCCCCTATTTTTAGGGACTCCAATTTAAAAAATAGGGGATATATTGGCCCATGTATAAGACGACCCACAGTTTTTCACATAATTTTAAAGTAAAAAAAACCCTAGTCTTATACACGGAAAAATACGGTATCTTGTTAGTTGGTTGTATATTAGTGGGATATGTTTTAAGTAGCTTCCATTTTAACAAGGCCCACAAAAATAATCCTGGTGACCCACATATGTGGGGTAGATAACAAAAGAACTGGCTGGGTGTCTGGATTCAAAACGCAGGGCTAAACTTGCTCTCCAGCAGGAGAGAGCCCCAGTAGCAAAGTTTACTTTTACAACAGTCAAGCAGCTGTATAGCATTGTGGAATATAGGTTAGATCCTTTTATCCCATTTAGTCCACTTGTAAACAGTACTCCTCTCTTTCTACTCCACTTGCAACGAACAAACCACACACTGTTAAGTAAGTTTAAAATGCTTTACTTACAAAATGTTCCAAATGTCAGATTCATGTATTTATCTAAGCAGCAGTAAGGAACACAGACAGAATGCTCTTGGATAGAAAATACAGAAAGGTATTTTACTGTAGCTGAATGTGTGGACAACAAGCCAGATCTGAACATAAGAAACCTGCTGGATCAGGACAAGGATCCATCTTATTCCAGCATCCTGTTCTTATAGTAGCCCAGCAGATGCCTACAAGCAAACCTGAGTGCCAGCATTCACCCACACCCTGTGATTCTCAGCAACTGGCATTCAGAGGCATGCAACCTCTGACACTGAAGGTGGAAAGTAGCCACTGTGGCTAGTAGCCATTGGTGGCCTTATCCTCAATGAACTTATACAGTCCTCTTTTAAAACCATCCAAAGTGGTGGCCATCACTACCTCTTATGGGAGCGAATTCCATGGTTCTGCTATGTACCGTTCTATTAGCATTGTCATTTTCAGCCCACTATGTGTTATATGACAATAATATGTGCCCACCATACATTGTACCATGCATGATAGGTTTAAACTACAGTGGTACCTCGGGTTAAGTACTTAATTCATTCCGGAGGTCCGTTCTTAACCTGAAACTGTTCTTAACCTGAAGCACCACTTTAGCTAATGGGGGCCTCCTGCTGTTGCCGGAGCCCAATTTCTGTTCTTATCCTGAAGCAAAGTTCTTAACCTGAAGCAATATTTCTGGGTTAGCGGAGTGTGTAACCTGAAGCGTATGTAACCTGAAGCGTATGTAACCCGAGGTACCACTGTACTTGAAATGTGGTATATTTTTCCTTCTGAAACCTGCAGTTTCTAAATGTCTTCCAGGGTGAATCTGGATGGTAACATTGCTTGCTTTTTAATGCTTAAAGTTATGTGGATTGCATTATTCAATATCTTTTCAGAACTGGTACCAGCTCTGGGTGACATCCTTAAAACCAAAAAGAATTGTACCTTTTACTGCCAGTCTTGCCGCGAGAGCGTAATAAACAACCGGTAAGTGCTGTACTCCCATTACAGTTTGCCTCTGGATGAATGGGTTTGCATAGAGATTAAATGAACAAGTGAAGACTTCTAGAGAACACTAGTTTGTACTGATCAGGACAGGAAAACATGTAGCTGTAGTGGTAAAATAAATTATTGGATTAGGTCATTAGGCCAGGGGTGGGGAACTTCGGCCTCTCTTTCTCTGGCTCCTGGATCTCTCCCCACATCCCACTGGCCCCATTTTGCACTCCAAATCTTTGCCTGAGTTGAATGTGTCTTTGAATTCTGATAGTGCCTGTTACATGTCTGCATAGACCAGGGTTTCCAGTTTTTTTTGGACTACAACTCCCATCATCCCTAGCTAACAGGACCAGCGGTCAGGGATGATGGGAATTGTAGTCCAACAACAGCTGGAGCCCCAAGTTTGGGAAATCCTGGCATAGACGATAGAGATGGTGGATGGACAATTGAGACTAGCCAAATTTACAAAGGTAAAATTTATATTCCTTTCACTTTATGCCTCTGGCTCTGGCTGCCACTGGCATGTGGTCCCAAGAAGTTTGCTCAGGAATAAATGTGGCCCTCAGACTGAAAAAAAGGTTACTCACCCCCCATGTTAGGACTCTGCTTCAGAGATTTGGAGATCTAGGAATTTATGACCTTTCCTTCTAATCTGTGTCAGTTATGAATAGCTCATTGTTCTCCCTGTCTTCTCTTCCCCTTATTGTTTTATTTTAACACAATTTCTTTTTGTTTGTTACATTTTTAATTATCCTCTACCTCTCTGAGAGCCTTCTGGCTGAAGAGCAGGATATTAAGGTTTCAAAATAAGCAAATCGCGTCTTCACGTCTAAGGAACAGCTCTGGAAAGCTAGCTGTTTTGTGATTTTTAGTTGACCTCAACAACGGTACTTATTGGAATACTTTTCCTCCTTGGTTTTTTAGTCATGGGCCGTTGCAGTGCCATGCATTGCTTTGTTTACTACCCGTGTGTGCCCACATCTGCCCTATACATTTAAACACAATTATACCACTTTAAACAACCATGGCTTCCCCCAAAGAACCCAGGGAACTGTAGTTTGTGAAGTGTCCTGTGAGTTGTTAGGATACATCTAGCCCCCTCACAGAACCACAGTTCTCAGGGTGGCCCAACAATCCTCCTTCCCAGGGAATTCTGGGAATTGTTGCTCTGCGAAGGCAATAGGGATCTCCTAACAACTCACAGCACCCTTAACAAATTACAGTTCTCAGGATTCTTTGGGCGAAGAATAACCATGCTTAAAATGTACGTTATGGGTGTGTCCTATGTCCCACGCTCTCTTGGTATCACGGTACTGTGAGAAAGATTCTTTTCTTTCTTCCTCCCATATAGCTTGCTGAGAGGCCATGGCTGGTTTTCCCTAATTGGGTACAACCAAGGCTGCTTTGGCACATGGCTGGCAGGGGAAGCAACAATCCTTTTCATGGTATTGTTTCTGCCATTCAGTAGCTCTCTGAGATCTGAGCCGAGTGGCATTTAAACTGATTTTCCTCTGCTAACTTTTCTGACGTTGACGCTTCCTCATTAATCCCAAATATCACTGCACATTTGCAGTGCGGGTACGCTGAAAAATGAAATGCAGGTGTCATCTGTTTAAGCTTCAGCTTACTGCATTACATTTTGTGTCGAGTATTATTTTTCTAGCATACACAGAAGGCTTGGTTATTAAGCTAGGGAAATATATTGCTCCAGGTTCCAAGCACATCCACGGGATTGAGTGCCTTTTGCTTTATTTTACTGTCTGACAGAAATGGATTTGTAAATGCTTTTTTTGCAAAAATAATGAAGCTACACAAGATTGCAGAAGCAAGTACTGAAGGGATTAAACAAGACATTGAAATTAATGTTTTGTAACTATCACACTCTGCCTTTTAAGTGTTGTGTGTGTGTGTGTGTGTGTGTGTGTGTGTGTGTGTGTTGGCATACCTATAAGGTACATTCTTAGGTCTGATATGAGTCTGGTTTGATATGTGTCATTAACATCTACCTAACTTATTATGTAGACGCTCATCAGGCAGAGGATGGCGGGGGCACGGGAGTTCTGCTCCAAACACTGTTACATTAACTCCTTCCTGAATATCAGCCAAATAATTGCATTCTTGCCAGGCTCAATCTGTGCTGCATGAAATCTAAGACTATTCAGTGGCATGTAGTTTTAAGCCATGATTGTTTCAACCATGGCTTAGTGTTGAATGGGGATCGGGAGGCAATCTTCCTCCTTTAGCACAAGAACAGAGTGTCAGAAGTGGTATGAGAGAACTACCATTTCTTGCAATGTTTATATTACATCACCACCCCCTGCACTGGTCAGACTGGATTTTGCAAGACTCTGAAGAAGAAGAAGAAGAAGAAGAAACAAAACAAGATAAGCTCTAATAGTGCAGTTGGCACTGCTGGAATTAATGGGTGGTATTCCACTATTTTTTGTGGTTGCGTAAGTTCCCCCTCTCCTTGCCCAGTGCCATTCCCAACTGCTCTGGAGGGTTGGGGGAAACCCCAGACAGATTTTGGAGGCATGTGAAGGGAGGCAAGGGAAGAAATATTTGCTCTGATGTTCATTCACTTAAGTGTTATATTGAATACAACCCAGAATATGTAATATTTCAGAAGGCACCTATTGACTATGAAAGAGCTAATGAAGTTTAATATATTTTTCTCTCCTACTCTAACCCCCCCCCAACTTCCTTAGACTGTCAAGTTTTTTCTTTATTTTTAGTTTTTGTATACACTTACCTGCATGACCACATTAAGCAGCACTTTTGAAGGAAAAATAAAATAATGTTAAGTCTACTGAATTCCCCACAGCAATGCCTCCATCATTTCCAGAATGTTTTCTTAATCTCTAAGCTTTTGACCAGTATGTTCTTCTGCCCATGTTAAAAAAGAGCTTCTTGTCTTCTATTAACATTTCCTTCAGGAGTGAAGATGACTCCCATCCAGAATCTACTTACTAACCTATATAGGCATTCTCACCTTTCTTGAACTGTGTTAGCCAAGGGCAGAGTTGGGGTACCTGTGACCTTCCAGATGTTGTTGGAGTCCAACTAACATCAGCCCAGGCCAGCTTGTAGACCAACAACATCTGGATGGCATCATGATGACTCCTGCTTTATTGAAATGACTTGTCCATACACTAAGTCTAATTGGTCTGTGTCATAACAACTAACCCTTTCACTTTCATCCCTTTCAGGACATTTCTCAGAGTTCTTTCCCTTCCCGGTGAGAACTGGGGTGATTTGGTGGAGGAATGGTGTTGTCACCCCAACCCCTTCAACGACAGCGTGCTTCGGCCACAAAATGGAGACTGTTTCCTTGGGCACAATTATTTCCTGATTAGTTCAGGAAGTGATCCAACTGGGCCAAGTTCAGAAATCCCTCATTCAGAATCCCTGGGTACTCCTTCTAGAAGCAGTGGCTCTGTCCTGGTGAGTACACTGGAGAAATAATAATGGACAAGCGTACACTTGACATTTGTTTTGATTGTTAGAGGATTGCTGGAATGATAGATCTGAGTTGGAAGGAACCCTGAGGATCATCTAGTCCAACCATCTGCAATGCAGGAATATGCAGCTGTCCCTTATGGGGATTGAACCTGTGACCTTGGTGTTATCAGCACCATCCTCTTAAGCAACTGAGCTATTAGAGAGCATGCATAAGAGCCCAGGTTTGTTTCCCTAGTATCAGCAATGACAACAGGCACAGGCAACCAGCTTCTATTTACATATTTTTTGCAATTAGCACTCTCTATTAAACGTACTTAAACTGTCCCTGTGATTGGAAACCTTGGCAGGCCAAGGTTTCACAGAAAGGGTTTACAGCACCTTCCAATCTTCCTGCTAATTATGTCAAGATCTCAAAATCTCTGCCTCCATCCCTAGGCTTAACCTTTCACATGTTCAGGTGAACATTGCCTTAGTAATTGTAATATTAAAAAGTAATATTAAATTAATGTTTGAATAACCTGTTCAGGGAAGTTTTTAACATTTAACGCTGTACTGTTTTTAACACTTGATTGGGAGCCGCCCAGAGTAGCTGGGGAAACTCATCCAGATGGGCGGGGTATAAATAACAAATTATTATTATTATTATTATTATTATTATTAACCATCACACAGAGAGAGAGAGAGAGCGCCATAGGACGGCTCTTCCACATCACCTGAAGCAGTACTTTTCAGTGGAGCAGTTCACTCATTCTTCTGACACTCGACATGTAATACATTTTTTTTGAATAATGAGCTGTTGAAGTTTGTGCTTGTGTGTTAAAAAAGCCAAAATAGCAGCCGATCCTTCTTTATTCTCCCTCCCACCTTTCCTCTCTCTCTTTCTTTCCTCTCTCTTTCTGTCTGGACCCAGCACATGGCAACTCTTCTGCAAATCATCGTTTAATACAATTTTTAAACACCCTGAGGTCACACAGCATTCTAGCAGCTATCTCTAGGGGGAAGTATTTTCTTCCTGACTATGTCAAGGACCTTTTGGAGCAGAAGCACAAAAAAGATATTAAGAGAGTAGATTGCCAGGAGCTGAAAGTTGTCAACACAAGATACATTGATTTAATTTGTGTGGCAAAAAGTATTGCCACTTTTGTCCAAACCGGTGAAAACACTCTCAGCTCGTTCCTCTTCTGCTACCTTATGTACTTCTAAGCAAGAGGGAAACATACATTGGGTGTGTAGCAATTGAACCTGGAAGCTCCTGCAGTCCTAGCCTTGTCTGCACAGAAGTAAGTCTCACTGAATCCATTGGGGCTTACTTCCACCTTAGTAGGGTTAGTATTGCTGCTTTTAAGTGCTTTGAATATTTAAGGAAGTGCTATATAAATATTTCTTCTCCTTTCCTTGTGTGTAAAGCTTCCTATGTTCCTGATCATTTTAAGTTACAACATCAGTACTCTTTTACGTCATGATAGCAAACCCCATGCAGAAGTCTTCAGACTTAAACAATGTGGGTGGAATTCAGCATCACACTCTTCCAAACGTTTCCATTGATTTAACAGCTGATCCCTAGTGTTCTGTCTTTGGGATGGTCTAGACCAGGCTTCCTCAACCTCAGCCCTCCAGATGTTTTGAGACTACAATTCCCATCATCCCGGACTACTGGTCCTGCTAGCTAGGGATCATGGGAGTTGTAGGCCAAAAACATCTGGAGGGCTGAGGAAGCCTGGTCTTGACACAAATTTGTAACAGCTGGGGCCAAGTGCAATAGTTTTTAAAAGGTTGACTGGAGTGATTAGTCTTTCTGGATTGGCAATAGTCTCCCTTAATGTGAATACGATAACTGAGGTTTAAAATCAAAATGAAGCCATTTGTTCTGGGATGCAAAGTGCAGTCAAAAGTTTGAGTGAAGTTGTTTCAATAGCCTTAACTTGGCCACTACAACAAGGTCCTGTGCCCAGAAAGACTTTGTATTTGTGGTCAACCTCAGGTGGAAGACATCACTCATTATCTCTTAGCCTGCCCCTTATATAGAGACCCAAGAGACAGCTTTCTGAAACTTTTGTTCACACAAGCAAGCAGGTGCACCAGGCAGAAACAGTTCCATTTCTTTTGAGTGACAATAATAGCTTCGCAAAACACAGAGTGACCCTCTGTTCACTGACTGCAAAATAAATCAGGATAAAGGAGTTCGATAAAATCTCTATAAATTGTTGTGGTGATTCAGAGGTGAAATCAAGCTGGATTTGTTGGTGTGTCTGGTTACTTCTTTCTCTTACATCATGGATGATGGCTTATATTATGGGTGTATGTTCTGTATTATTAATACTATTGCCATATGTTTGTCATGGCCATTGGCTAGAACAGTAAACATATGAAGTTAATAAACTTAACTCTTTGCTTTGATTGTGGCATAACATTTTAAAAAATCAAGTGTGTGTGTGTGTGTGTGTGTGTGTGTGTGTGTGTGTGTCAGTCTCTCAGTCTGTAAATGTTGCTTCTTTGCCCTACAGAATTCAAAGGCAAATAGAAGAGTAATTTGCAGACGCTGCAAGACATTGTTGGGAGAGGTTCACTCCTCAGGTACGGAGTATGTGAACAAAGAATCCCTGGGCTGTTTCAATCACTTGCAGCTTGAGGATGTTTTTGTGTGCTGCACCAGTTATAAAAACACTGTGTGACATCCAGTGATGGCCACCCATTTGTACAATAGAAATCTTGGGCTGTGGCACGACACTACTAGTTTTCTCTTCTCCCTGCCCTGCCCAAATCTGCTCTGCTGGGTCCTCCAACACTCTGGAGCAGTTTTTGGGGGGTAAGCAGAGTTTTCAGGAGGATGAGCGAAGGGGAGAAGCCCAGTTGCGTGTGCAGATAAGTTCGGTTAGATATCACCATTATTCATAGAGGTTTGCACGCCAGTGTTTGGGGGAGGTTTTTTTAATAGTATCAATCTGCTATTGGGATCCAGTAGTCCTATTTAATGTCCTGTGTGGAAATGAAAGTAATTATTTCAAAATGAACTCCAGTTTAATGTAATTTTTTTTGGTAACTTATTTGTTCATTTGTGGCTTAGTTAAACATTTAAAATAAAATAAAAATAGAAAAGCAAGCAAGGGTAAAGCACTACAGGTCTATAGACCCTTTAATGGTTGAGAATCACATGGAGCATGAGGTGGTTCAGGACTTATATAAAAATAATCTACAAAAATTCAAATGGCTGCTGGTGTCTGCAGCAGCTGCTGGCTTGGGAGGATATATGAAACTTAAGACCTTTTCAAATATATAACATGCTACTATTTTTAAATATGCTTTGATAACTGTTTTGATTTCTTCTGTTCTTTGTTTTTTGTTGTTGAAAGTGTTCTTGAAAAATTAGAGAGTTTGGATGTGAATATTTTAAATAACTTGAAATACTCAGGGGTAACAGTGGTTTATCAGTCAGGCTTGTCATGTGTTGTTTTTAGTCAGTCCTGCTCCAGCAGTCTGACATGAAATTTTAGCGGGCAAAGCTTGATCCAGATCTATGGGCAGACTCAAAATGGTTGCAATTTTTTGAGCAAGAGGGCAGTTTACATCTGAAGCCCCCTTTGAAGTCCCATTTGAATACACTCCCTCTCCTTGTAGTATATGTGTGGTTTATGTATTAGTTATTTGTCCCACGCATGTGACTCAGTAAGGCTTCAGCTCTGAGATTAATTCTGCATTTGGTAAATATAGTACAGATACTTATATTATTTTTACTTCTAGGTGCCACAAAATACTATTTCACTGAACTGTTTGTTCAGCCATCTGAAGAAGGTTTTGACATGGTACCAAGGTGTGAAAGAATTCTGCATTTTAAAACTTTTCAACAGTTCTGCCTTTGTTTCATTTTTTCCTATACATTTCATGAAATATAACACACATTTAATGGTATTTGAAACCATGTTAATTAAGTGCATTCCCTGCTTTTTCCGTTCTTTCTCCTGCTAAGAAGTGTTAATTAGATTGTGGCATTAGCAAATGGAATTCTTGAAGTCAAAAGTCATCTGGCTGATTAAGGGATGCCAGTTTTTATGGTACTCTGTAGCCATCAAACATCACAAACTTTTTAAAAGGTTCTTATATTTCTTCCCAGTAGAAGGAAATGTGCATTCTTCTTCCTTGAACCGAAAGTCTATTCCAGAAGCCTGAACTGTATCTAATCATGTATGGATAATCTATTCAGGGGGCAAAGGAGAAGAGAATATTTTTTATCCTCCCCTCTGTTTGCCCAGACAGATGTGATATGTGGTATTAGACACATTATGGCTTGGGTTGTTTGTGTGCTACTCAAGCTCTTAGATTGGACTTCAGCTGTTGAATGCACTCTTTTGGCACATGTGTCTCCTCTCCATGTATCTTCCTTATAGATGCTGAACTTATATGTTCAGGTCACACGCTAATCTACTGTATTCTCTTGGCTTATCATCCTGCTACACCAGGTGTGGAGACCTTTGGCCTTCCAGATGTTGCTTAACTGCAATTCCCATTAGCAAGCATGGCTAATGGCCAAGCATATTTGGAGTTCAGCAACATCTGGAGGGCCAAAGGGGTTTCCCCACACCTGTTCTACACTATCATTATAAGGCTTAGTGCAAAGCCAAATTCACAATGTTACCGAAACAGTTAATACTTGCATTTCCCCCCCTGACTGCATTCCCTAGTGTTCCTACTGGTCACCCTGCCCTTGAAAACCACTGTTATCATCCTTGCAATGCCCTTGTAACATCCCAGTTTATGATGTGCTTACAACAGTATTAATAATCCCCAGCCTGAGCATTGGTTTGCTGTTGTAGCAAGTTTTAGGGTTAATCAGTGGCAAATTATGCAAACTTAAAAGTTGCTGTAATTAATTTCTGCCATGAAACATATAATTGCCAATTACAAGCTGATACTTGACCATCTTTTTCTAACCTGCACAGCAATCAGTTTCAATTAGAGCTTTCTTCCTTTTCTTAATTGGAGGGATGGCTTTTAAATAAAACATTTTTGAACAATTTTCAGCAGCTGTACCTGTGCTGCAACTACCATAAAGTGCTGCAACTACCTTGCATTGTGATGACCATTATATGGATTGGTTTCTCTCTTTATCGAGGTGGAAGATTTTTCAGCACATGTTGTGTATGCACTATGCCAGGAGTCAGAAATTTAGAGATAGGAGAGAATAAGGATATGCTGAAGAGACAATAGAGATCTGTGTTTATATGTTAGTCCTGAAAAGGGCCATAAGCTCTTTTGGACAGGGTTGGGGTCTGGCATGTACATACAGTCAGGCTCACATTATAAGATGCTGGGGATTATTTTCATTAAGTGCATTCCCTTTGCCTTGAACCTTCTGGAATGCAGTACTGTATTAGATCAGGTGTGACATTTTATTGTATAGTTGGAGGGGGGCATCATTGCTAAGGAAGAAGGTACAGAAATCTGGTTGATTACTAGACGTAAAGAACTCCAAATTGCTTTTGTTTCTGTACTGCAGAATAGTTAATGGGCCAGTTTTACCTCAACAAGGCATCTTGAACAGGACACTGTTTTATTCCTGTCCTTTGCATTCTTCATGTGTTGATGATACTTCCATGACCTTTTTTTTTTCTTTTTTACTACACTTGCTGTTTCTGTTGTCCAAAGCCCTACTAAATATTTTTGTGTGATTGGGGCTGAAAGGTACCTCTTCCACAGGTAAAAACGGCACTGGAAAATGCAAATGTCTCACTTTTCAACAAGCCTTGCCCTGATTTTTTCTCTCTTTTTACATTCTCATTTGCTTTTCATGCAATGGCAGTCATATGAAGCTTTCTTTGCTTTTTGAAAAAACAGGTCTCCCTTTATACAAAGTGTTGTTGCCCAGTGCCTTGAAGAGCTTTCTTTTGCTAGAAGCACATTTAGGTTCAGCATACAAGGAACTGATGGGACAACCTACATCTTGGTAAGTTGCAGACCTGTTAACTTTTTCATACTGTGATATCCTACGACTTGGCTCCAAATCTTTCCATGCTGTTTAGCTTGCTCACCCTTGCTAAGCAGGCGTTGTTAATTCTTCTAACAGTTAACAGTGCAGTCTGATGCACAGTCTACTCAGTAGTAAATCTGAGGGACAGTTAATCCCAGTTAACTGTCCATAAGATTGCACTCAAAGGCTGCAACCCTATGCCTGCTTACCTGAGAGTAAGTCCCATTGAACTGAATGGGATTTACTTCTGGGCAGACTGCATTCAATGCCACTGTTCCTCTTTAAGGGGTGAGTAGATATGTAGGGTTGAATTGTAGTTGCATTCCTACAGAAATTCCAAAATGCAATTGAAATTATTGGCACAATTGCATTGTGTAAGGGAAGTCAGGACTTCATCACCATTTGCCATGGAATGTCCATTGTTATCACACTTCCAGAATTTGTCATCTATAGTAAATGAACAGGATTTGCATGGACAGTGCCCTAGATTTGGGATCTAGGGCTGCAGCCATAGGGCCCAACTACTTTGGTGATGAGAAACTGTCTATAAACAAATAATAAACTATAAATACACATACCTGAAGTAAATTCCATTTAACTTTGTAGGACTTACTTCTAGGTACACATGCATAAGATTAGGCCGTGAATCATAATCATGGGAATGCTGGATTTGAAGTTTCATTGCCCTTTAACTCCATGTTTATAAGTGTGCTTCTGTCTGTGTATGCAAAAAAGTTAACCAGTCAGTGAAATGAACATAGCAAGAGGGCAGCCCAAATGTTCAAGGAGTCCTGGAGCAACTTTCCTTTGATGAAACCTTACAGTGTTTGGGACTTATTAATTAGGAAAGGTGAGTAGGTGGGGGCAGGCACGAGAAAACTGTATAAGATTATACATGGTGTGGAGAAAGTAGTTAGAGAGAATTTTTGCTCCCTCATAGTACTAGAACCTGGGGTTATCCAGTGAAGCTGAATGTTAGAAGATTCAGAACAGACATAAAGAAGCAGTTCTTCACACAGCGTGTTCTTGAAACTATGGTATTTGCTGCCACTAGATGTAGCAATGGCCACTAACTTGGACGGCTTTAAATTGGGATTAGACAAATTTGTGGAGGACAAGACTATTAATGGCTTCTGGTCATGATGCCACTGAATGCCAGTTGACAGGCAGCATGAGTGGGAAGAATGCTGTTGTGCTCATGCTCTTCTTGTGGGCTCCCTGTAGGCATCCCGCTGGCCACCATGAGAACAGGACCTGGCCTAGCTGGGCTTTTCATTTGACCCAGCTGGGCTGCTCTTATGTTCTTAAATGGACTGGACCCCCACCCCACCCCTTTCTTTTAAAAAAACAAAGCCCACAACCTGTAGGTTTCTCTCTTCATTCACAGATGTGGCTACTAAATTCTGACACACTTCTGGTGGAATCTTCAGGAACACCGGCCTGCAGTAATATCTTTACAGTGTTTGAACATGATATGTCGTCTGATTTGAGGCCGTTAAAGATTCAGAAGGCTATCAAAGTCCTTTACCATCCCTGTGTGAAAAGCAGAAATAAGGAGTAAGTACCTGCTTACTTCTATTAAATGTGGCTTCTATTAAAACACCGTAGCAGGTTATTATTTTATTGCCATTGTTCAAATTGTCAGTGTTTTTATTTAAGCCAGTGAATTCTAATACAGAAAGGTTTTATTTCACCTATTTGAAATGGAGTGAAGCAAAGTCACCATAATGTTTGACTACAAAACAAGATATTGCACTATTTTATATAATACAGTGTGGGTATAATTGCGGTATGAGGATATCTGTCTATATTCTGCTGATGGCTTTAACTGATGATAGAGCAGAATTTATTTGTTTTAGTACTTGCCCTGTTAAGGAATATGGGCTTCTTTAGTGTGCTTACTTTTTCATCTGTTGGCTTCCTGATCCTGGCTTTTATTTTGCGATATATAAGCAGTATGAGGTTATAAAACATCTGTTCACACCCCCCCCAAATGCCTTAAGGTCATGTGAGGGCTAGCTTTACCCCTTGCCACTATTATTTTAATATTCTTTTGAGAGCCGCTCAGAGTGGCTGGGGAGGCCCAGCCAGATGAGCGGGTTGTAAGTAGTACCGTATTTTCCCCTCTATAACACGCAGATTTTTTCTCCTAAAAAGGAAGGGGAAATGTCTGTGCGTGTTATAGAGCGAATGTGTGGTCCCTGGAGCCAAAAAATCAAGCAAAAGTCAAATCGCGAGTCACGGAGAAGGGAAACCTGAAAAGAGTTTCAGGTTTCCCTTCTCCGTGACTGCTTTCCTGCATTCTGCCTCAGGGTCTTACTGCCCACCCTCCTCTGTTTCGTTGCTGTGATTGCTGAAATGGAACAAAGAGCAGGGAAAGCCCCTCCCCTCCAGGCAAGCAGAGTGTCGTTCTTTCTAATTCCTCTCTGTGCTCCGGTGCTGCTGGGGGAGAGGGAGAGAGAGTGGGGGAGGGAGAGGGGGAGGGGGGAGGGAGAGGGAGAGAGAGGGGGGAGGGAGAGAGAGGGGGGAGGGAGGGAGGGAGGGGAGAGAGAGAGAGAGAGAGAGAGAGAGAGAGAGAGAGAGATGGATGGCTGGCTTGGGGGGGAACTTTTGCCTTTCTTTCCTCCCACCCGTTAAATCCCTCTCCAGCATTCTTAGCCAGCTGCTTCTCTGCACACCCCTCTCATGTCCCTTCTTTGTTTTTCCTTCGCTCCCCACTTAAAATGTGGTTACAAAGCATAGATCAACATGGATCCTCAGGATCTTTGCATTGGGCCACCCCAAATTCACCATCAGATCACATAGCATGTCCATGGCTACAGCCTGCACCCAAAAAATCACGCACCCACTGTTGCCTGGGGCTGCAATGGTGCAAAAACGTGGTTACAAAGCATGGATCCACAGGAATTCTCAGGATTTTTGCATTGGGTCACCCCAAATTCACCATCAGATCACATGTCTGTGGCCACAGCATGAAGCACAAAAATGATACATCCACTGTTTCATTCAGAATGTTTTTTCCCTTGTTTTCCTCCTCTAAAAACGATGTGCGTGTTATGGTCAGGTGCGTGTTATAGAGCGAAAAATACGGTAAATTATCATCATCATCATTATTCACACAGCCATGTTCTCTAAAGGTCCATGCATTTAGCTGGCACATGAACATTTTTTCTGATAAGGGTGATTCCTTCCATATATTCTCAATGTAAAAGAAACTTAGTTTCTCTTTGAAGTTATAGTCATTCACCTTTTATTAACTCCACATGTTTTAATGATTCCAAAGGTATTTTCTTCAGCAAGGAATTTTGTACAGGTGGGACAACTTCATTTTTCACGAATAATTCCCATAAGTGGAAGCGGAGTTCTTAGACTTAAAAGTAGCCAGGGAGAATAAAGGTGGGAATGACTTTATGCACATATGTACTGATATTTATGTCTAAGTGTAAAGAAATCCTGTTTGCTTAAACAGTGTTTTAGTGAGTAGTGTGTAATGTACAATGTACATTTGTAATGTGTTTGGTGAGGGAAGTCTTCTGTCTGGTCAGATGAAAGTTGGTTTAACCTTCACTTAGGGACCTTAACTGACAGCTGAAGAGGGGTTGGAGATAGAACTCTCTGTGTGCAAATGAAGGATAGAAAGTATTCGAACCACAGTTCATGGCTCAGTTGGTAGAGCACGAGACTCTTAATCTCAGGGTTATGGGTTTGAGCCCCACATTGGGCAAAGAGATTCCTGCATTGCCACAGGACGACCCTCGTGATCCCTTCCAACTCTATGATTCTATATTCTGATTGGTGGCTGCAGGTTTAGAATTCTTAGTTAGACTGTGTGATTGGCCGGGGCTGGACTAGAGGGGCCAGAAGAAGTGTATATATGACCAGGTGCTGGTCAACAGTAGTTAGCTATTGGTTAGCCAGCCCTTGCTGGTCAGAGGGAGATGAGGGGAGAACCTGCCTACAGCAGTAAGGGAGAACTTTACCTTCCCGCTGGAGCAGTACCTATTTATCTACTTGCTCTTGACGTGCTTTCAAACTGCTAGGTGGGCAGGAGCAGGGACCAAGCAACGGGAGCTCACCCCATCGCGGGGATTTGAACCGCGACCTTCTGATCCGCAAACCCTAGGCTCTGTGGTTTAACCCACAGCGCCACCCGCTGTATTCGTATTCAACTCATATTCAAATCCTGACTTAGTCATTGAAGCTCAGCAAGTGGTCTTGGACATTCACACTCTCTCAGGTTATCCTACATTACAAGTCTAAAATAAACTCCATGTTCACGAGCTCTTTTTGGGAAAGACAGGATACAAACATCATCAATATTTTTTCCAGCTTGTTTGGATAGGGCCGAAGGCAAAAACTGTGATACAAAGAAACTGAGACAAACCACTTCTTTGTTTTTTTGAGTGCCTTTACTCGATATACATTTAATCACTTGCTTTGGGCTTCACTCCCTTCTAAAATAGAATCTTAAGTCCTCCGGTATAGAAGCTGGTGAACTGAATCATCAGTTTGTTCTTGATTGGTTTTTGTGTGTGTCTGACCTTTAAGTTTTTTGCTGTTAAAACCAAAAAACCCAAATTGAAAACCTGATTGCTTAATCATTTTAAGGAAGGTTTAGCTTTAAAACCATTTAAAATTTTATTTTCAGTCATACAGAGTACACTTGAGCATGGTAGCATATAAAGCTATATTCTCGTTCCTCTTTCTTTGTCGGCTGTATTTTGGTAGAGCTCAGTTGCAGTATAATAGGTTAGCTATCTGTTGTACTCCCTTTCCATATCCAACTGAGGACATCTGAGCAACACCAGAATATTGCTCCGAGCTATGCAAAAATCAAAACAAAAAAGCAGTATGAGGTAAAGTTTGGTCCCACCACAACAATTTATTTTCTCTCATGCAGCAGGCTCTTTGGATCTCGGCCCAGTACTTCTGGGTAATTTACATTTGCTCTCAGTCCTTAGCTTCTGCCTCATAGAAGTGTTTACTTGGCTGTTGAAGCTGCTTTTGGGTAGCTTGGGGACTTCTGTGGATTATCTTTATCCATAATAGTCTTGGAGCACAATCTTCAGCACCTGCTCTCAGAAGTAAACTCCATTTGAAGTTGGTTGGACTTAACATCCAAATAGTGTGTTTAGAATCATGGGCAGGTTGGGCCAAGTGACTCATGTTCACATGCAGATTATTCTGAGTTTGCTCTTGTGTTCCTTTCACTGATGCCCACAGATATAGATTGTAAACACACGTCATCAATGTTCAGCACACTCATCAATGTGTATTTGCTTTAGACTCAAGGCTGCTCATGGAACTGTATTAGGAGCAAAGCTGCCTCACTTCTTAAACTTGTATCAGTCCCTTATACCCTGTTCTTCCCCCAAAGAGCTTGGAATAGCTGGCATATAGTTGCCAGGCAATTCTGCACTGAGGTCGTTCTTTGGCTCAGAGTTGATTGGCTTTAGAAGTAGAACTATAGCATGTGCCTTCAGATCATTCTCTGACGGGGTTGTTGCTTTTATTAAGTTACACCATTTCCCCTTTCTTAGTGCTTTTCTTTCCCTCATAATTATCTCGGCCAATGAAGAATCACGTAGTGAGGATAACAATGTTAAGACACTAGCTTGAGTTTCCTCAACTTGGTGCCCTTTGGATTTTGTTGCACCACAACACGTTATCCCTGACCATCATCCATGTGGCTTGGGTGGTGGGAATTGGAGTCCAAAATCTGGATAGTACCAGGTTCAGGGAAGGATGTATTAGTTAATCAATTACACCTGGGATCACTTAAATGAATTAATCTGGTTTAGGTGATGTGGTGCTATAGTCCCTTTAAGATTAGCTTGCGGGTTGCATGGGAATTTGTTTGAATCCCTGGAATAAGCCTAAACACAGATGCCTCTCATTAAGACCTCAAGGCCAGTGTCGGAATGGTAATTAAAGACATGTGCTTATTTCGTTGGGTGGAAGGGGTGAATGCGAATAGTCAGTGTTCCCTTAAAACCTGGGCTGCAGTGAGCATAACAAGCTCTCAGCATGGACGGTCAGCGACTGTTTGGACCTTAGAAGATACCGTATTTTTCTGTGTATAACATGCCCCCTATTTTGGGGGACTCAAAATTAAGAAAATGGGGGAGATTGCCCCCGTGTATAAGACTCCCCCCTTTTTAACATTATTTTTTAGTAAAAAAAACCCTTGTCTTATACACAGAAAAGTACAGTGTTTTGCTTTGTTGCTCAGCCTGCTTTTTACAGAGTTCTATTTTAATAAAGTTTCTTGTATGTTTTTATGGAAATTGGTCTCACTTGAGTTTCTAAACCTTCGATCTTGAATACATTTTCAAAGTGGGTCATTCATTACAGGTGAGTACAGGGGTTCCTGTCAGCCAATCAGGGAGGTTGTTCAGGGCCATGCTTACTAGACAGGCAATCATTTGTTGTTCTTTAGCAGTGATCCATTAAAAGATTTCTGAAAGTGGTGACATAATAAACCACTTCTTACTGGTTCAGCCCTAGCTTGGATAGCATTGGTTGCTTTGACTCATTTTGTACTTTAACTAGCAACC